CTTTCTCTCAATATACTGCATTTAACTTTTAAATAAGGTTTAGGAGAACCTGTAACACTTTGCTTACTGACAGAGCTATATTTTAGGAAGGGCAGAAATTGGCTAGTCTATAAAAATTAAATTATGCCCCTTTCAAGGTATCTAGTCAAGAGGAAAAACTCTAATTACAAGATTGCACTGTCAAACAAATGCAAATTTGTATTCTTTATATCCTGGTTTAAAAATTCATACTGGAAGGTTGGGGGGAGGCTCCTCTTCTGAAATGAAAATCAATATTTGAAATATTTTTATGGAATGCAATGATAAATAAGCAAAATAAATGTGATTCTCAAGGACGCTGCTTAGAAACACCAGCCCATGAAGAGCAGAGCTGGTGGAGGAGTCATTATTCATACAAACATTTAACCATCAATTAAGAAGGACAAGGAAACCTCTTCCCCACAGCCCAGACTTTACTATTCCAGAAATGAAACAAAACAGCATCAAGAAATAGCCTCAGATCCTAATAGGAGCACCTCTCTAAAGAACAGGCAAAGTGTAATTTTAAGTATACCTCCGTGGAAATTAAATTTACCTTCTTCATAATTTCTAAGAGCTGGGTTTGCAGACTAAAGCCAGAGAAGACCAACCGAAGACCTGGTCCCATCATATTGCTGGTAATGGGGGCTGGAGCAGGCAGGGAAACTGTCTTTCTTTACTGCTTAATATCAGGGTCGGTTAGTTCATTAAGGTTTCTTAGTCTGTTTAAAGCCTCGGCATTTCTATAGCTATTGAAAAATGCCAGCCCACTCGATACTCAAAAGTCTGAAACCCTTTCATCTTGATTTTCTGATTCTTTCAGTGTTCACTTTGTGGTCTGTCTGCTTGGCCCACCAGATGAAATTAACAGTCTTAAAAACAACAATAAAACAAACAAACAAGCCAATCATCTCAGTCCTTACGATCTTGCTGGAGCTATCTTCCTGGGTGTATGTAATGATACATTTCCCTCTGTCAGATGCTGGCAGGTGACATTGTAGCAAATGTGTTTAGCCAGGGAAGCTCATGTCAAGAGCCACATAGTGTCAGCGGCCCGGTGGACTAGGACCAGACATATAACTTTGTAAAGCTCTTCCTCTGTTTCTTTATAACATAGAAAAGGTAGTCCAGATCAGTTGCTCAATGTGGAGCATGCCAGGGTCTCTAGAGGAGCCTAGACTACAGAGGTACAGAATGAGCGTCTTCAGGGGGCAGTCAAGTGACATTCAACAGAACTCCAGGAAGACACCTATGTGCTCTTAAGTTAGATACACTGGGCCTTTTCAGCTCTGGTGCACCAAGAGTCTCAGCACCAATTCAGACTTTGATTCTTAATAGGACCACTTAACAAGTACTGTTTGCTTTCTGGGATAAAGGGTGTGAAGTTGACTAAGCAATCGAATCTTAGGCGAGCTGGCTGAAGCATAGGAAGTCAGTCATTACGAAGAGAGTGAGCTCACATTATGAAGAGTCTCACATTTCATGAGACACCCACAGGTTCGTGCTAAGGGATGAGCCAGATACCCGGTGCATGCAATGAAAGTTAACTCACGTTGCCATGATTTTATTATATTGCGATCACTTAGCAACCAAAGTTGCTCTCCATCCTTGTTGGCAAAAAAAAAAAAAAAAAAAAAAATCAAAGTGACTGGTCTATAACAATTACATGAAATTTAATATGGAGTGCCTTCAAGATATCAGTCTGAAGATATTGCTTTCTGTTGAGGAAATAAATAAATAATAAATAAATAAAAAGTAAACAAACACTACCAATGGAAACAGTAACCACATTTGTCAGGCTTCCATCAAATGCCTTGAATTCATTTACACCTAGTATCCTAACTACAATGGTTTGTATCAACGTGGCAGAATCTAGAATCATTCAGCAGACAGGGCCTCTGGGTACGGCTGCAGGGAGTATCTATACTGGGCAGAGTCACCTTAGTCGTGAACATCCCTGCCTGCATCCCTGACTGCGTTCCTGGATTGTAATAAAGGAGGAGAGTGAACACTAGAGCACTGGCAAGTGTTGCTCTGTTCCTGAGTGTGCGTGGCATGGCCAGTTCCCTCCAGCTCCTGCTGCTGTGACAGTGGCTGACTGGACTGTGCCCTGAACTACCAGTTAAAAATAAGCTCCCCCCTCGAGTCACTTTTGCCAGCCTAAGCTGTAACCGCAACAGGAAACAGACGAGCAAACACTAAGATATTCCCCATAACCGGTTTCCCCATTGGATTCATTAATCGCTTGTTTTTTTCAGACATCAAGATTGAGGCTGCAGCTGTGAACACTTGAGTTTAGCAAGAGTGCTTGCCGCACAGGCATTCAGACCCGAATTCAGATCCCAACATCCACATCAAATAAATAAATAAAAAGTAAAAAGAGCTAGGTATGGCCATGGTATGCTGACAATCCCAGTGCTATGGGGAACCGAGGCAAGAGGATCTCTGAGGCTTGATGGCTGCCAGACTAGCTCTCCAGAGAGTGACCTTGTCCTAAGGGAAAAAGTGGAACAAGATAGAGGTGGATGTCCTCCTGGCTCCCACTTGCCCCTTCACGAGTGTATGCACTCTTGTATAGGTACATGTGTTGTGCATATACACGCACAACACATGCATATGCCACACACACACACACTGAGAAACACACATACACTCCTTGAGCTTCATTTTTTTTTTTCACATTGAGACCTATGTCCTGTACCCTGTGGTCACTGACATCTTGTCTGGTGACAAGAAGCAACTTGACTGTGTCACTTGAAAACAACTGGCCTAACCCAAGGACTTCCTTCAGGACCAACTGGAAACTTTCTGTGGGCAATACAGAAGTTAAGAGGTGCATTCTACTTTTCTATAATATGATCCTCAGGAGAGGATGAGGCAAGATGAAAAACAGCACCTAAAAAGGGAGTGTGTGATTGCCATCTTGGGGTATATATAGAAGTCCCCTTCTGAGAATGCTTCAGAGTGACAACTGCTTTTCTCAATCACATTCCAGCGTGTGAAGCACAAGCCCTGGTAAGCAGTGGCCTTGAGGATCCTGAGAGAGTTCTTAAGGCCTGCTACTACCTCCTCCCATCATGTCTGCCTCAAACCTATTTCATGGAAGAGGACTGCAGATATTTGAAAAGCAACAAACGTTAGACTCAGGTAAAATACAGTGCAAAGAATATCACTCATAAAAAATAATTCACATCCATCTTAGCTGCAGAATCATCATTAATTTTTGTGTTGTCGTACTGTTTTTAATAGCAGGAATACCAGATTCTAAAATCATGCTCACTGGTTTGGGGAGAGAATACATGAATTCTTGAGAGCAAGTGTATCTTAGACTTTTCTCACAAGAGCAATCTTGGTACAAAGGACCCACACTGGATCCAATAATGTATTACAAAAAACAGCCTATAAAGCCATACACAAAGGGTTTAGGGAGGTGGCTCAGCAGATGAAGTGCTTGCCACGCACTAGAGTTCGGATCCCAAGCGCACTTGTAAATAAAGGTCAGCTGGGCAAATGAGATGCCTGCTTGAAACCCCAGCTCTAGCAGCCAGAGAACTAGCGGTCTGGTTAGAATTGGTGAGTTCTGGGTTCAAGTAAAAGATTCCGCCTCAATAAATAAAATGAAGCATGATCAAGGAAGGCATGGATATCAACCTCTTGTCGCCACTCACGCAGAGAAGTATCTACATAGGCGTGAACACCACATACACATAGCATACCAAAAACAGTGTGGATGTACACCTACATATACTTATGTACCAACAAACGTGAATGTGAATGTACATATACATGATTACCACACATACATAGACATGCGAAAAAATAACACCCCCATACCACAGCCCAGTCTTATGGAGAGTTGGTAAATCAGCTCTCCAAGGAACTAAGACTTAACAAGATACCTTCAAACCCTACCCATGAGGAAACTGCTGTGCCAAGATGCTGTCTTCAGTGCTAACATCTGAGCATTGTTTTGCCAGAGGGTTAGGTGAATCAATTATTCTAATTATTCTAATGGAGCCCTGTTGGCACCTTGTTGGACTAAAAAGGAAAAAGGCTCAATCAATGGAACCCATCCCAAGGTGGCATTTCCCTCCTTTTCAACTGTCTTTAAATGGAGAAGTCTCTTTTTGACCTTGGGATCAAAGCCATAGCTTCATTTATTTTCTTAACATTCTGGTTCCATCTTGGGGTGAGCTTTTAATTCTAGCTCTGGGGTGGGTCGGATTCCACCTCTCAAAAGACGTATTAGCTAGAGTGATGTCTGTTCCATATAACTCCCTTCTTCAGCTTCACAACATCCAGGAAATTTGCTCTGATAACCAATAGCTAAGATGCTGGGGGTGGGGGTGATCTTCCTGGGGAAGATCTTGGCAATTTGTGCCTGGAATTTGATGCATTGGTTCTAAAATTAAATAAAGATCCTATAGTGTTCTTCAAAGAAATATGGTATGCCGCTATGACAAAACACATTTTTCAAGTTCTGACCTCTGGGAACTTCGAGTAGCTTCATATTTCAGGCTGACATCGCTCACAGGCTACTGTCTAGCTGCTGGAGCTGAATCCAGCTCTCAATGTATTTTGTTTTTTACCATCCTGATCAGCTTTTTAGCCCAGGAAGGAAAAAGGAGAAAGAGAAAGAGAGAGAGAGAGGGAGGGAGGGAGGGAGAGAGAGAGAGAGAGAGAGAGAGAGAGATACTGATTTACAATGACTTTCCCCCTGGAGTCCCTTGGGGAGAAGCCTTGGTAATTAACTCTAATGAGGTTAAAGTAACTTCCAACTCTTCGTTTTTTTTTTTTTTTTTTTTTTTTTAGAACCAAACTTTATAAAGTAAATCTGTGCTAATCAGTGTGTGTATGTCTGGTGTCTGTGGTGTGTGTGCCTTAGTCAGTGTCTTTTCCTGTAATTTAATACCCTCTATCCCCAGTCCTAGATGGCGCTTGGAGGGGGAAGCGCTTGGAGGGGGAAGAGCGGTTCAGCTTACCAGCACTTTGCTCCATCACTTCTTTCTGACACATGTCTTGAACGTTCACGGTGCAATTTACGATGAACTCAGGGGATGAGCAGTCGTTGTTCAGCTGGAATTCTTCACACTGGTAGCACTGAATCTGCAGCGCCAACCCTGTGGGACAGATGAAATGGGGTTCAGAAGCACTAGTTAAGATCTGGCTTGCAGACAGCACACCCTGGCTGGCCAGTATCACCGTGTACAGCCCCAGACAACAAGGGCTTTTGGCTTCTGCATCCGGATCTTCAGCAGGGCAGGCAGTGCCTGAAGCCAGCAGGGGGCGGCGGCACAGGTTTCCCAGGGTCTAGTACGATAAAGCCCTGTCAGAGACCCTAAATTCCGTCTCTAGGCACAAACAGCTCCTGCAACACCTCCTCAAGCCTTTCTGCAAGTTGTTGCAAAGGGAAGGGTGAGAGTTCAAACCCTAGATCAAAGTAGCCGAGTACAAACTTCATCTCCTGTCTGAGCCTAATTGCTAATTGGTTACAAATTGGTTAATTACTATTTTGGCACCATTCATAATTGCATTCGCTGACGCCTTTTCGGGCTTATTTATTTAATCTTAGAAGTCAGCATTCATAGGCTGGGGCTCTGAGGCTTCCTAGCGACCACCCTGAAACCTGGAAGGATACCAAGTGTCCCTGAGCCCTCTTAGTCTTTCAATTCAGAGTCTCTTCCTATGACCAGAGTGGGGCAGCTGCTGAGGGTGGAAGAGTATGTGGTGTGTGTCCGTGTGTTGTATGTATGTGTGTGTGAGTGCGCCCTCCCCGGGACCGCTACACTACAGCTGTTTTAGACTTGACCTCTCCACCCTCGCCCCCCCTAAAAAAACATGCCTGTTGGGGAAAAAAAAACCCAACTCTGATCGCTTAGAGTCCATGATCAGGGACTAGGTCTAGCCTTACCATATCTTCCCGATTGCTCTCCTTGGATCTGGGAGCTTCTCTTTGGACTCCATGCCCAGCGCTCACAGTGTGTTCCCTTCTTAGCACACCACAGATCGTAAGCCAAGCACAGATAACTCAAACTGGGATAGCCGTCCCCGCCCCCAGCCTCAGGTTGTCCGGTGTGTCGCTCACCTGTACGCGTTGCCGCTCCCTTGGGTGGTCACAAACACTTGGTAACTTGAGATGGTAGGAGATTTGTCGCCCCTTTTCCCCGCTCGCCGGGCTCAAAGACCCTCCCCACTCCCAAATCTGCATCCCCGACTGTGCACCCCAAGCAGCTGCAGCTGAGAGTCGCGCCAATCTGCCGCTCTCCTGCAGCGCGGGACTTGGAGAGAGTCCCAGTCTGGCGCCTCTGGGTCTCAGTTTCCAGCACCAAACTCCCGCTGGGTAGCCCCAGCGCAGGAGCGCGGACCCCAGCTGGGCGCACTGGGGGTTCGAGCAGGGACAGGCAGCGAGATGGCATGAGCGCGTGTCTGGCCAGGCTGCTGGCCTCTCCATCTTCTTACCTGGAAGCCATAACAATCCGCAAAAAGTTGCTGCGATGCCGAGAACCCACATCCTCCCGGATCGGCAGGGCCGGGAGCGGGCAGGAGCATCAGAGACCGCGACAGCAGCAGAGGCGACAGCAGCGGAGGCTGTCCGGGCCGCAGCGACTGTAGCTGCCGAGGTTTGCGCTGCTGCTGCTGCTGCCCGGGCGACGGCTGCCACCGAGAGGAGCCGCAGGTGTCGCCCGCGGCGCCCGCATCGCCCGCGCCCCGGGCTCCCAGAGACTGGTCCCTGGCACCTCAGGTTCCCGCTCCCCGGGGTGGAGTGCAGCGCCTCTGGAGGAGTTGGCTGCTGAGGCTTGAAGAACTACTGGCGATCCGGAGCACCCGAAAAAGTCTCGCCTCTTCTACCCCCACCCCTCCCACTCTGGGTACCACGTGACGGCTGCTGACTTGCGGTGGGGGTGGAGGGCGGGGAAGGCTGGGACTGTCTCTCTGCTGTCCCCACCCCCTTCTACCACCCTTTTAGCCTACCTCCTCCAGTTCCTTGGAAAAGAGCGCCTGTAGGGCTGAGTAGCAGTCCTTTTCAGGGGTTAGGAATACAGGGGTGACTAGGGCGCAGCAGGTGCTGCCAGGCCAGAACCTGTCCTGTGAGAACTCGGAGATCGAAGTACTAAGCTGGGGGTCTCCGCACACTGGGATACCCTTCCCTTCCAGGTGCTCTCTTCCCTCCCAGGGGTGCTAAGTAGTACACCCCCCCAAACACACACATACTGGATGACTGGTATAGGATGAAGGGGCATTTCCGTGCACCTGGAAAAGTTGCACGGTCGCTAGTTCCCTGGGGTGTCCGGTGCAGCTGCGCCTCTTCTTGGGAAAAACCCACATCGCAGGTCACCCCGGTCTTCTGGCACAATGCCTGGGAGTTACAATGGTGACCCTACCGCAGGTGGCTCACTTGGCCAGACTATCCTCTGGAGGATGCCCTGGTCGCCTACCCCCCCCCCAAAAAAAGCTATCCTGGGGAGTGGACACCGGGATCTGTGCGTTGTTCTTTTACTCGCCGAAGCCAACAGCTGTGATTATACGCTCCTTATAATCAAAGCCTAGGCTTTGGTCATCCGCTGCCTCCCTCCTACACCACCCTCCTTTCTGACAATTCCAGGCGACCCACCTTGCATATTCCCGGGACACCACGGTGCTATTTTTCCTTCCTGGCGGAGCTTTGCAGAAGGCTGTGCTCTGCAAAGAGCTGGCGACCAAGCTCTTGGTGCCCCCGCCCCCAACCCCGCGCGTTTCCATCCCCCACCCCGGATTTGGGAGCCTCAGTGGAAACCCGTGGCTAAGCGTCACCTCTCTTCTGTGGAGCCTCCCAAGGGGAAGTGCTCTGAGGCTGGGCTCTGGTCATTTATTTTCCTACCCTGCTAGCAGAGCAGGTCTGGAAGGGGCATAAATGACTTTCTTGTAATTTCTCTGCAGAGATCGGGTCCATAGCTGCCTCGGGCTCATTCTCCCCATCCATCCCCACCCCTTTCCTTACATTTCTAGCTGGTTAACTCCTTGGGGAGACAGAGATGCTGTGACCATTACTTGCTTGTCTGCAGTGTGGATCTTAACAATTGTTCGAATTACTATTACAGGAGCAAAAGGACCAGTTTATTTATTCCTTCAGGGAACCTATCCACAGAGCAAGCTCGGGACGCGATTAAGATAATCATTGAACCAATCGCTCCTTGAATAAAGTTCTTTTCTGCTCTTAGAGGGTGGGAGAGGACTTTTATTCAGAAATAAAATGAAACAAAAGGATTTTTAAGGTCTGAAAGACAAAGATGCTTTACACAATTTGAATTTAAGATAACGAAATTCAAATACTACAAATTGCACACATAAAATAACACTGGTCATACAATACTCTATAAAGATACAAGTGTGCTAAGGCAACCGCACAAATCCTAAACATAGCTCTACTCTGCCTGGGCTGCAGGCTTCTGTACAGAAGGAATTATAAATAGTTCACGTCTAGAAAAAATACACATAACCTTTAAAATAGAATTTATCCTCACATATGAACAGTCTTTAATAGAAAAGGATATTAAAAAGTAAGAAATGTTCATAGCACCAACCATTCATTTTTTTATAAAGTGAATATGACAAATAGAGTACCCAGATTTTAATAAAAAAAAAAAGCAGGAAGATAAAAAAAAATCAACAAACACTCAGAGTTGTAGAGAACTACAGTGGAGAGGATGGAGAGGCTGGGGTGGAGCCTGCTGACAATGGCTACAGTGGAGAGGATGGAGAGGCTGGGGTGAAGCCTGCTGAGAATGGCTCCATTCTGCATTAGCAGAAGCACTGCAGACGCCACCCATGTCATTGCTACTTAAGTCTTCCCAGTGACGACTTGGACATTGGACCACCGTTCAGATTTTCGGGGGCAGTGATGACCTCAATCCTCTGGCTTTTCTGCAGGCCCCACATTTAGATCGACACAGTGTATATGCAAATGATTTGAAGACCCGGGTGATTAACTTCACAAAATCCTTAGTTGGAGTTTTTTTTTTTTAAAAATATATTATCAACTTCTAAAACTTAATACATCATTTCAAGAGCATGGCGCCAACACTTTTTATTGCTATCTTTCTCCACCTACAAATATAATTTCTCTTTCCCCCAAATTTACAGCTTTTATACAAATACTCACAAAAAAAGTGCAAACGTTGAGAATTTTCTATCATTTTTGCTTTTAATCCTCAGGAAACATAGTAAGTAGTGGCGATCTCTATCAGTTTACTAGGGGAGTAAACTCTGGCGCGTTGGCTGCTGTCATCTCCTCTGGAGTTAGTGCTCCCCATATCCCGCTCCATGCTGCTTTCCTAGTGCACAGAGCCCAGGGATCACTGATGGGTGCTCCCCTATGCATCATGGGAAGCCTGACTTGCGCAAGAAGAGAAGCTGTCATACAGAGAGTCACTCAGAGACTCCACATTGTCCATGCCAGGCCTCGCAGAGTTACTCAATGACACATCTATCTTTTTGCCTTTCTCTTCCTTTTGTCCTTTAACCTTGCTTAGAGACTTCTCTGGTTCTAATAAAATCACAGTATTGCTGTTAAATTTATTGAACGACTCTAGGGAAATTTCAGATAATCTATTCTCAGGATCTTCCTTTGTTTCTTCGACTTGTTTCAGCTCCTGCAATAAAAAGGAGGAAAATATTAGAAACATAATTCTTTGGAAAAAATCAATTTATCCTATCTGATATTCAATTATTGTCTGAATAAAGTACAGTTTAAAGGGGGTAGAGGGAACCTACAAGTCCTTAACAATCTTTCAGTGTAATTAAATGCAATAATAAAGCTAATTTTAGGGATAAATCAAGACTTTAATCATTTTACTGAGATAAATAGATCTCAATTTGCAAACCAGTTAAGTGCCACTTAATTCATTTTAAATGGATCCATTTGAAATTTGCTCAGGTAAAGTGTCATATTTTTCTTTATCAAAGGTTCAAAGCCCTCTGTTTTCTTAATAAATATTCCTTGCACTTTTTCTAAAAGGGATACAGATTGAGTTTCAGCCAGAAGTTACAGTCATTCGGGGGGGGGGGAGGCATAAAATCCCTTAAATTGCCATAAAATTTAAGAACATATTAAGCTTGTTAAGAATATTGTCATGTTTGAATTTTGTCCCTTGTAGGCACCTAAGATATTTGAAGGAGTGCACCGAGTCGCTGACTGAAGATTCCAGAATGGCTAGAGGCGTAAAAACCAAGAAACCCTTCCAGAAGATTCTAGCCATACCTATTCCCAGGTATTTACGAGATGTTCTTAATACTCCCAAGGACTTCATAAAATACTGCAGTTATACTAGGCAATCTTTGGAGGTTCTCTAGTAAGCATGAGTGTGTTCAGGGCGGGGTGAGGACAAAGGGAGGCAGGGACACCAGAGGCAACGAGAAGGGTGCAAGTGGTTAAGTCTCTAAAGCACGTTACTTTGAGGCAAGAATCCCATCAACCACAAGGAAAAGCTGCAAAGGGGAGTTTAATATATGTTAGCATTTTTATTAAAATATATGATGTCTCGGACAGAGACACTTAACAGATTCTTCTAGCCTTTTCATGGCTACAAGGTAAACATTTCTTTTTGCTTTAGCTTTTTGGCCCATATATTACTTTACAAGTTTTATTTCATTTTAGTTGATATATAATAATCTTACTCATACCCAGCACACAGTGTATTTTTTACACTTGTATAGGATGTGTGATAAATAGTCCAATCATGGTGTCTTGGGCTGGGGAGATGGCCAACTCAGTGTATTACATCCTTGCAAGCATAAGGACCTGCGTTGATCCTCAGAACCAACCTAAAAGACATGGATGTGGGGGCACACACTAGTAATCTAAGTGGAAGCAGAGAAAGGACGCTCTCCGAGCTCCATAGTCAGTCAGCCCAGCCTACTTGGTGAGTCCCAGGCCAGTGAGAGCCTGTGTTTAGAAAAAAACAGACCCCAAATCAAAAGCAACCCAAACAAGGACAGTGCCAGAGGAACGACTCTAGGTTGTCTTCCGGCATTTACATGCACAAAGGTGTACCTGTACACACAGGAGCACCACACACACACACACACACACACACACACACACACGATACTTAGTATGCCCATCAACTCAAACTTTAGTCACTGTAGCAAGAAGTCAAAACCTTTTTCTATAGCTATTTGGAAACACAAAATACTGCTAACAAAACTCACTTTTCTAGGAACACAAGATCAGAAACAAGGCTTAGCCTGATGGTCACTTGGATGTGGCTTCCCTGCACAGCAGAGAGAGAGAATTCTGAAGTCAGTTTGACTAAATATGGGGCTTTTATTCTTTCTGTTCGTTGGACCTATCTCCTTACATGAAAAAAAAAAAGGACACAAATATCATGATTTTTTTTTTAATAAAAATTTAACCAAATCTTCCATTTCAATGATTTGCCAAACCATTTTGAATACGTGCAGTTCTTTCTACCGTCCAGCCTACGCCCCATACAGTTATACTAGAGTTACAAATGCCACGAGGAAACTGATGGAGGCCGACAAATTCAGTCAAGACCTGTAGACTCTTAAATGCTAAGTGCCCAACAGGAAAAGAAAAGAGAGATGTAAGTGGATGCCTTTAGTGTTCCAAGGGCCAGTGCTTGGGGTTTCTCTGTAATGGAGGGCGGGGTCATTCATGGGGAGATCTGGGCATCTGCCTTGAGTTAGTGCTTATTTAATGACTCAGTGTGCTGAAGTATTATTTGTAGAACAGGTTTTCAATCCTAAATGGTTGCCTGGAAACCATGGTGAGGGGCTGATCCACAGGCAATGATTCCATATTCAGGAAGAGCTCAAGCAAGTGCTTTTTCATGTTCTGCCAAGTC